CTCAGTTAATAAGAAAGCATAGCCTGTGATTTGGACTGATCCAATTGCCGTCGGATTTCACCAAATGAATTAGAATAACTACCAGCTTACCCCTACACCCACCCCCACCCCGAGCCCCTCCTAAATAGGGCATGGCGACCGAAGCGGTGCAGAAAGTGACAGACACACGAAGCCACGGTTAACCAATAAATCGTTTTCACCACGTAACATTGTATCATTTTGGCCCTCTAATGGCAACGAACAGCTTTCCAATGTCAATAAATCATGTCCGTTTGTGATGTGAAATCGAGGCCTAGCCGAGCGGTGAGAACTATGCATCAACAATTCAACACAATGGCAAAACGCAACATTGCGTTCGGACGGAATGCACAGAAAAATATCACACGGACAACCACTCTCATTTTGTCCTAGTGTAAACGAATGATAGATAGGAACCAACCAATGAATTTTCAGGGACTGGTAACAGGTCGGTTCCATGTTGATCTAATAAAAGTTACTACAGTATGAAATACAAATTTAGTTTGTAGTTTGTATTTCCTAGGAAACGTTCGAACTTTGACCCACTGTGTTAAGAGGCTCCGAGATCGAACAGATACAAATGTGACAGTAGACACTTTAGAGTTTCTCGCACCAACGTGCGTGGTCGGCGTGATTCACTTTGTTTCGGACTGCCTTCTACAAGTGCAAGAGTCGGTTTAGTGATCATTTATTCATGCGAAATGGAGAAGATTCTCGGGTATATGTTCACCTTCCCTAATGGTCAGCAATCTGCTACTGGACATTGATGCAATAGGAATTTCGGTAACTTGCAGGAAATAATATTGTTCTCTTGAATACACTTCCATCAGGCCTTGGTTCATAGTCAATGTTCAGCTGATGGAAAAAGTTTAGGGTTTACACCATCCAGCCTTCGAAAGCACCTTATGATTGGGTGTGGATGACTCATCGCTCTTCTCTTACTTCTCACGAAATGCTCTTACGCAATCGAGCGTCTCAAAGGATCTATGCCGAGGAAGCCGTGTTTACCACCTTCCAGTAGCAGAGGTGTTCTCTCAACAAATTAGGAGGGCGAGAAGCCAACATTCGGGTCGGTGAACCACCGATTGCTCACCTGGAAGAGTTGGCTAAACTCTTATCATAAAACAACCAAGAAGAGGAATACGAATCACACACGTTCCTGGTTGCGGTAGGGGTCACAAGCTCANGTGTTTCGGGTGCCATGGATGTTTTATCCCATCCTTCCGGGTGCATGATCAAAACATTGACCCCAATGGATTGTGATTTTTACTCACTACCTCGCTGTATTGTTGATCACGCTTTGGCTAGCCGAAAATTCCGGTTGCACATTTCCAAAGTAAATTCACTTTCTCTGGCATGGATAATTTAGCACTATCTCATTTACCAGCAAATCACAAACTGATTTCTTCGTTGTAAAGATTATTGCCCTGTGATTGATCTAGCAGTCCGAACTAAAACGCAGGTGAAATATAAAATAATACAATAAATACTACATGCTTAATTAACTAAAACTAAAACTACAATCAATCTCGGGGAACAGTTTCAGTTGCCTGCCTGCAGAACTATAGGGCGAGCTCTAGTTCGTAGTAGAGATTTCCGAGGTTTCCAAAAGGGATTCTTCTAACTACTGAGTCAGCTATCTTGGTTTTGTATGTACTCGGTCAGCAGAACGGGATTCGAGCCAAGTGACCCTCTCACATGTTTAATTTCATATGGGTGGTGATGGCGCAGTGGTTGAATCGCTTTCAACTGCTTGCTTTGGACTGTGTGGTCCGAGGTTTGAGCCCGTGAACACCACCCAACTTTGGTGGTAGACAGCTTTTCTGCCGTGCGGTTCAATACCACGTCTAACCTAAGGGGGCCTTCGTGGTTCGCCAGTTCATATATCGGGGCTTCGATTACCGGTTTCCATCACCGGACAGCAGGTCTTCGTGATTATGGGACTCACCCCGTCTGTTGTTCATCACATGAGTGTGTAATAAAAAAGCTGTTCTATCACCACACCGTTCCCATTAGGGCATTTCCAGATTCGCCAATACAAGTCCCAAAACTTAATTCACCAGTTACCATAAACGAATAGTCGATCTTAATAATCACACGGTTTGCTCCTCCGATTTTTCCTAACCCGACGCTATTCATTAGTAATTAAACTCTGGCTATCGAGAACACCTGGGTCCATTGGCTGATTCTTTGATCGTATTAATTGGATTTGAGTACAATAATATCAGTTTCTTGTGACTAGCGAGGATACGGTGTTTTCATCCGTCAAATTATAACTAACCACGTTACAAAAGGAAACCCCATCGGTGATAGGCTGTTCTTCTCTCCCTAGGTTTAGTATCTTGGTTCCTTTATTGTTAACACATGGTTCCTCGTTTGTTCATATTTCTTGAACTACTGACACAAGCTGGTCATTTGGGGCTCAATACCACTACTGTGGATGGGAACATCACTACCGAAGTGTCTGACCATGAACTGGTGCTAAGTTATGAATAAGCTTGCCTCAGCATTGGCTTTGTGTGGTGTAGCTAATGTACCAGGTTGTGGCCGAATAAATGAGGATTCTCATGTGCTAGAGTCGAACATGGAGATGGCTGTGTACAGCAGTCAGTGGTGCGAATGGAGTCTGTCAGTTGGCATTCCATGCACAAAACAAACAAGTGAAACAAAATGCCCGTTGAAATGATTATTCTCATTGTTCTCTGTTGTGTATTCCTTCGTATTATTGTTGAGCTGGCACAATGTTTGTTCTGGCCCTCACTCACTCTGATATATATATATATATATGCACATCAAATATTCTACACGATGAATCGCTTATTTTTGCTTCCTAGAACATTAATATTCTAGCAAATGTGAATTCACATTTGGTACCGCATCGAAAGACGAGGGAATTATCTGCATGCCTGGCTGGGATTCAGACTCACCTTTACTACCTCGGCACCGGACTTGGCATTTTCGTACACCGACGCCTGGTAGGTGCTTTGCAGAAGTTGTGGCGGGAACTCATTCAGATCTTCTACTCGCACAACCAAATCACGACTAGATGATCGAGGCGGATCACCAGCATCCGAACATGCGATAGTGACAGTGAATCGGGATTCTACCTCGGCATCCAGTATCCGCGTAGTGGATAGTGTGTAGTACTTGCCAGAACCGGCCAAAGCAAACGTGCTGGTGATTCCACTGGGTCCTACAATTTCACACGATACTTTGGCATTCTCACCCACATCGTCATCGGTCACTTGAACCACGCAAACCCGTTGAGGTTGGGCATTTTCTGGCACAGTTAATGCCTGCCCTTCAGCGGGTGAGAACATACGGATTTGAGGACTAAAATCATTCAGATCGTGTACCTTTATTATCACTTTAGCCACGTCTGGTGCACCGCTCAAACCAGCCCGAGAAGAGGAATCTACTGGGCTGGGACCGATAGCAACAGGTTTGGCTCCATCGACTGCCACAGAGAAACGATATTCTGTACGCCGTTGAGCGGCTAAACGTGACTGGAGTACTACACGACCGGTGTCCTGTTCAACACGAAATGTATCGCGCAATCCGGGATCAATAGGGCCGTGAAAATGAAAATCCATTCGTGCATTTGAAGGCGAATCTTTATCGACTGCCTCTAGTTCCAAAACAGTCTGACCAACAGTTGCATTTTCCAAAACTTCAACTTCATAGGAACTTTTCAAAAACACTGGGCGATTGTCATTCTCATCAAGCACCTTGATCGTTAAATTTTGACTGGCGCAACTCCGTGGATCACAAGCTTCCAATGTCCCTGTGTACTGAGTTGTACTCTCATAATCCAGCGGACTGCGTAGTCGTAAACGAACACTGGGTAAATCGGTGTAATCCAGGTCGAACATGCGCTGCAATTGGGCTCCATGAAGCAGATACCGTTGGATCTGGTGTTCTTTAGCCATGTCCCTATCCGTGGCCGGG